AAAACCATGACGGTCGGTGATATCCACCAATAACTATTGATTCGTATAAAAGGGAAGCTATCCAAGAAAGAAGAGCAAGAGAAGTGATGTCGCCTAAACTGGCAGCTATCGGAGTTGCCACATTATCTGGATTTATATTTAAAAATCTTGAAAATGATATAACTGCCGCAGTTATTAAACCTAAACAACAACAACAACAAAAGTCAGAGTTGAAAAAAAATTTTTATTTTTTATTTTTTTTAAAAAAATTGACATTATTATTTTAGGATATCCGACCTAAAATTAAACTGGCTACGGATGCCGTTATTAGACTGCAGGCACAGAGCATGAGAGTATGAGTTAAATTAAACTGTTGCCGAAGAGCAGCAACCATGACCACAGCAACCACAGAAGACAAAAGACCGACAACAATTGCTTGGCACTGAAATTATAACAAAAAAAAAAAAAAAAAAACATTAAAAAAAAAAATGAAATTAATAAAACACGCACGCACGCACGCACGCACGCACACACACACGCATTGGCAACATGAAATATTAAACATTTTAAAAAGGCAATTACAAAAAAAATTTTTCTCATATCGCCAAGACTAATAATGGAGATAATTCAAAGCTCAATTTAGCAAACTAAAAGCTTCTTACAATGTCTTTTAGCAGTACCGAAATCTGGTTTCAAATTTTCCTTTCAAATACGTTAAATAGTTTTTTCTTATAAGGAAAAATTAATTTTTTTTTTTTTTTTTTTTTTTTGCGTTAGGTTCTTTGACTTTAGCTAAGCTATGAGCGTGCTATACTACTAGTTTTTTAATTACTAATATATCGATGACCCTGATGATGTTATTTAATGATTCAAACGTGAAAAAAAAAAAAAAAAAAAATTATTATTATTACGAATAATATCAATTAAATAAGTAATAATCCATGACGATGGTAATATTTTGCGTGTCCATTTCGATTACTTGAAAGGCAAATGACACGATCGATAAAACCCATAAACGTACCACCCCCCCCCCCCCAATAACATTACATCGTCACGTGACTCGTATGGAAACTAGATAAATGGGTTATGCATTATTTAAAATTATCACATTATTTTTTTTATTTTAAATAAAATAAAACATGACACCCACGCTTTTCTCCCCCTCGAGCAAAGCTTTTTAAAATTAATTAATTTTTGTTAGATGATTCTTCTCCGGAAACACAAAAGAAGGACGACAAACCTGTCAACAATATACTACCGTACCTTTGTCGTAATACCCTTACTATCTCATTAACCTTTCGGTAAAATAGTTTTCGAAGGTTTCTTTTAACGCCCTCGCTTATCCTTCTGGACGTTCGTTACTTTGTTAATGTACAATGACATACATTAACGCGACAACACCTAAATCCGTTACTGCCATCCGTGTGCAAATAATACAAATAGAATTCTATAATTTAATAAAACTGCCCCGGTGGACGCATCATGCCATTGTAGAAAACACAATAATGTATTTCGAAAAACTTTTGTGCACATCACAATGCCCCTATTCTCGAAGCAGTACCCCCAGATAGGTAGAGAGTTTAAGGGAAAAGAAGAAACATGTGTGCATGTGTGCATATTTTTTTTGTATAAAGGAAATGAAACAATTTGAAATGTTCTTTCAATAATGCCAACCTAACAATAACAACTAGAAATAAATCAAGTAAATTTTTTTTTTTTTATTGTCTAATCACTAACCTGCACTAAAATTAAATTTCCTAGTATCATAATCCATCTTTCTTTCGTATCATCCATATGTCCGAGATTTGCTTCGGTAGAAAGTCTAGACGCCAGCGTCATTTCTAAATTTCCTTTCAAACCCAACAATGAAGGCACCAAAATTATTATTTCAGAAACATTTTGGAAAACAGGCCAACTCTAAAAACAAAACAAAAAATTGATATCAAATAATGTGACGAAGGAAGGAAAATTAAATTTTATTAAAAAATTTTTTTTCATATTAACCTGAACGTGGTCAAGATATATTCCAGCACCGACCATACCCATACCAGCCACCAAAAATGGTAGTAAAACCTGAAGACCGATGCTTAAAAAAGTTTCTGGCGGTCTTTGCGATGGGGGCATTTGGGATCCATCAACTTTAACAACCACGTCCGGTAATGGTGATGTCGACTGAATGCTTGACTGCTGTTGCTTTCCCGCGTTTGATAACCGACTGATTTCTTTTTCTTCATTTTGGGGACCCATTACCTGAGTATCAGCTG